CGCGAAATTCCAAAAAAACAAAACAAACTAAGAAGGTGACTTCAGGTTTTCTTATAGCACATTCGAGGCTAGATTATAAGTGCGAGATAGTTGTGTTATTTGTAGAGTTCAAGCAAAAGTGTGTTTTCATGAAATATTTGTTATCGTACGTATTGAGCTATGTTATAAAAGTAAGTTGATTTTTTTATGTAGTGTAGTAAATTTAACGTCATTTGTAACGTAGGCCGACAACAATTTACGACAGTGTACAATTGTTCAAGCTTGTAAGAATGTTAATTAAAGGAAGAAATAAATTAGTTTATGATTGTTACGTGGACTGGACGTTGGATTATTTTCACCAGATAATTTAAACGAACCCGCCAACAACAACAACAAATCACAAGAATACTACTGCTGCAGAAATGTGATGGGGCAATAATGGGGCAGTTCTTTGTTAATGGAAGAATGAGGTTCCCAATTACACTTTTATATTCATGGGATATACCAAGGTTATGGTTTATCATATAAACCAATGTTTTCCAACCTGGGCGGTACTGCCACCTAGTGGGCGTTTTTAAAATTCAGATGGGACGGTAAACTTTGGGGGGGAGACCGCTGGGGGATTGAGAGAAAAGTTTTGATGGTTTCAAAGTTATATTTGTTAAAATTAAACTTTTATAAATTATGGTTTGTTTGTTTTTTTCAACACGTTTGAGCATAAATCATGTGTGGGTGTGTTTGTGGCAAGCAACTCCCACCCCAATGATTCTCGTCAATTCGTTTAGCATATCTCTTTTGGCGCCACTTTCGGTACTTGTATTAAAAATTTATTAGAATGGGGGCACGAGCGCTCATTGTTTGCTGCGGCGAAAAAGTTGTGAAACACTGATTTAAACCAACGTAACTGTAACTGTCTGGTTGCACAGTTATCGCTGTATCTAGACGTAAATGTATTTTTTTTGTATTTACCGTTGAGTATACAATTGGCTTCAAAAACTATGAATAATAACCATCAACGTTTTAATCTCAAGAACATCACGAAACTATATTTTCTATCCTAAAGTGTAAAATTATTATAATGTTTGTTTTTTTTCCAAACTTTACTTACTCCTTCAATTTTTGAGACAACTATTTCGTTTATTTGCTAAATCTTACTTGCTACCTCTTTGTGTGCATATCGTAATGATTATATCACGTCTCTCTCTCCCTCTCTCTCCTAATAGGAATTTAGGTCTTTGTGACCTAGGAGGGTCAGGTACTCC